TTGCCAGCCAACATCTCCTCCTGGGGTTGAGTGCTTGCCCTCCAACATGCAGCCTTCGCCACGAAGCATAACTGTCACGACAGGCATAATGCAAGGCTACCGTTCAGGGTTAGGGGTTGGCAACGATCTTCTTTCAGGGTTGAGGGTTTGCCAACATCCTTTTTGCAGGTTTTGGGCGCCAACCAACATTTCCCTTCTGGGTTTAGAGCTTGGCCAGCAGGATCGTCGCTTAGGCTTCCGGGGCTTGCCAACGAACATCTGCCTTCGTATTCAGGTTTGCAAGCAACATAAGTTGAAGGTTTGCCGCCCAACACTGAAAGTTTGCCGCGAAACATAGTGCCAACCAACATCTTCTTGCTTTAGGATTCGGGCTGTGCCGACCGCCATCTTCCTTTAGGGAGACCTTGCCGCCAACAACATTTCTTTTTGAGCTCGAGGGCTTGGCAACCTGCAAAACTTCTTTTGGGGTTTGCGGGTCTGCCAACCTGGACATTCGTCATTGCCAAGCAACGATCGCGAGGCAGGTTTGCCTCGCAACATTGAGGGCTTGCAACATAATTGCTAAAGTTCACCGTTCAGCGGGCACCTTCTTCTTTCAGGCCTAGAGAGATTGGCTTGGCCACGGTCGCATCTGCTTTGAGGGCTTCGGGTTTGCCAACCAACGGGGTTGCTAACCACGATTTCTTTGGACAACCCGCATTTCCTTGCAGGGGTTACGGCTTGTCAATCAGCATTTACTTTTGGGGTTTGGGGGTGTGTCAACGAACGTCTGCGTTCAGGGATGTTCGGGGGTTCGGATTTGCCAACCAACATAACAACTTTGATCGGGTGGGGGGCTTACATTCAGAGTTTGCCACGAGACATAATTGGCATAGTGCATAGCTACCGCTTAGGGTTTGCCAACCAACATCTTCTTCTGTTAGGCTTCGGGGTTTGCCGAGCACGATTTTCCTTTAGGGTCGAGGTTTTGCCAGTATTCTCTTTGAGGGTTTCCGGTATGCCAGGCAAAATTTCTTTTTGGGGTTTATGGCTAGGCCACCGTCATCGTTAGGGTTTGATGCTTTAACATCTGCGTTTGGATTCGGGTTTCGCCAAGCAGCAAGGCATCTGATCTCCTGATCGAGAGGAGGGTTTGCCACCCAACATCTAGCAGCATATGGTTGAGGGTTTGCCCTCCAACACCTTCTTCTTTCCCTTCAGGCTGTGTTGGCTTTCCCACGCTCGTTGGCGGTGCGAGGGTCGAGGCTCTGTTACCTTTAGTGCAGCAGGCAGCGGCCGGTCGCGTCGCGACACTTGGTCGCTCATGTTCGTTATTTCTCTAAAAACTCCTACCAGTGCAAAACTCGTTGGCTGCCCTGCGCGGGTTTTCAGTTTCCGCGACCGCCCGTGCATGTGTCCAATCTCACATTGTGTTCCTCCCTCAATGGCCATAGTATGGACCGGGCGACCCACCAAGATTCTTGCGCCAAGTCTGCACAAATTCGCCCGAATTCTCATTCCCAGTGCAGTGGCGAATTGAGGTCTGGCTCGTCACTGGACCGATACCTTCAGTTCTCTGCTGGAGGTGTGTACTTCCCAGACTTTTTCGCATGCTCTGCAGGACAGAGGTTGAGGTCTGTTCAGACAATTCACCTGTGGAGCTCGTCGCGAGCTGAGCTCATCTATCCCCACAGCTTGTCGCTGGATGCACATGCGCTCAGTTTCGGCCGGCGCAGTCTTTCAATTTCGTTTCAGATGTGTCGGCCGTGTCGGAAGAGGAGTGATGCAGAACGAGTTGGTGCTCAAAGGCAGCCGAAGGAGAACACTGTTAGTAGATGGAATTTGATGACCACATCATGTTCCAGCATCTTCCAGCTAAACATCCTTGTCAAGACTAGCTTTGTGACATGCCTTTGCAAGCTCCAATGAAAAGCGAGTTTGAGTTTGGCATTCAAGGCATTATTTGCACAGCTGCCATAACTGTTTCAGTTCCAACATGCTACAGAGCCGGGACAGAAGCTGGGTTCATGGACAGCGAGTCGTTTTCTTTGCTTGTTTTTGTTTTTTTTTTCTCTCTCTCTCT